TTATTTCTTCTTCCTCTTCTTTCTCTTCTTCTTCTCCTTCTTCTTCTTCTTCTTCTTCTTCTTCTTCTACTTCTTCTTCTTCTTCTTTTTCTCCTTATTCTTCTTCTTCTTCTACTTCTTCTTCTCGTTATTCTTCTTCTTCTTCTACTTCTTCTTCTCGTTATTCTTCTTCTTCTTCATTCACATTGTGTTTCATCATACCCTTTTTTTCCTTTTTTTTTTCTTTCTAATTCATCCGAAATGACATCATAAATCATCCTTTATTAATAATTGTTGTTCATTTTACTCCTCGAGCTCGTGAATGCGCGGCATTACCTTTGTCATTATTTTTACGATTTCTATTTTTTCTCCCACAATGCAACAACAACAAACTCTGAATAGCCACGTCGATCATTTTAATCGCATAATTTTGATTTTAAACATTTTAATCATTGTATTAAACGTCGTACCTGGACTGATAACAAGATAATTTAAAGTTTGCACGACCTCTTTCCTTACTATTCATCAACTTTATTACGATACAATTAAATTGGAAAAATTATATTCAGAACGGTGATGTGAAAGGTCCAAAAGTACATGATTCTTTGGAAGCATAACTACAGGTATACATCACAAGGGCAATGCACTGTCGTCTGCGTCAATCGCATTCTTACGATAACCATCAATCATTACCATAGCAACAGGCACCATAGGTCAAGATACAAGACATGTATGACTTTTAATGTCATCGTACTTATATGTGCGAATGGAACAGAACATATTGCCGTCGACTGGAACATTTTATCGAAATAATTTCATTTTCAAGAAAAATAATAATTGAGACTAAAAATGGAGGTACAAATTTTAAAAAGTGATAGAAAACATAGCATTGTTACTCTCCAGGGGAAACATGTCATTTAACTTTTACCTAATAATTGTGACAATTTTTACTTTGTACACCACCTCAGGCAATATTAATGCTGTGTATTGTGTCTGTCGTTGTTTGCTTCAATTTCTTTCAACGCTAATGTAAGCATCAAACGGACATTTCTTTTGAATTCGTATAAAGTTGATAACATCGTAGAAACAAAGAGATGCTGGTCTCTTGTCTTAATCGTGTCAGTGGGTGTACAAAGAGGTAACAGTAACTTTAAATAACCCCATGATTGCATACAGCTAATGCATTAACGCATAAATACAATTTTAAAAGGTGACCACCGGTGGGGGTATCATTTCTCTATTTTTAAATAGTCATCAGCACAAACAGGAAGATTGTTAAACTGCCTTTCAGAGCTAACAACAAATCAATTGTGTGCTTTAGTTTTAATATAAAAAATAGATTATACAAATAAGAGTTCTCAGTTAAATTGTTTTCATTTTACATAATGATAATAGTCGTGGCATGCACGCGGACGGATATTACTGACCGTTCACTATTTGCTGGATCATGTGGACGAGATTTAGGGTAAGATGTATAGAGCATCAATCGTCATATAGATGGCGAGAAGGCAAAAAAAAGGGATGATTTCTCCCCACTCGTCCGTCTTCAACTGAAGTAAAAAGTGCTTCACGACTACAGGGTGTCTCAATATGTCCATAGGTCTTTCTATTGACTTTTCAAGTTCATTTCCATATGTATCATCAAAGGCGGATCTGTACAGGGTCGATGAGAATAGAAATACCATGATTGTTTAAATATCTGATCAGTATTATACAAATCTTTTTCTTAGCAGTTATGAAAATGTGATCACAAGTCAGAAATCAATAAAGGCGATGGGGTGCTTTTGAGGATGAAGGAGATGGCAGTTCAATCCTAACCCCAATGTTTCATTGTCAATATATATTTAAGAAATACATTTTAAATCTTATTTTACATTGTGGTACAGTGAATTTTGATGAAAGTGTTGATACAGCAATGCAACTCCAGGTATTGCAATTTCATCTGGAGGGATATGTGTTAGGGGTGTCACTCTGCTATCAAATGCGGAATTTTTTCTTACGAGAGCGGTACTCCACAATATTTAAAGTTATAAAAAAGGGTCCACGAGACGGAGGGCGTCGAGACCGAAAGCGCATTGGACCTGAGCCCACGGATGTGATAAACAATAAATACACAATTATGAAAATATATAAAAAGATAGAAAGATGCATGAGACAAAAAGAAAAGAAAACAAGAAGAAAAAAAACTGGCGATCTCATGGGCGTATAAACCCCCGTGTTTATTGCACCGTTATCATGGTTATTGAAATATTTTTGGAGTGTCTTGTGAGATATAATTTTCACCTTCATATCACCACTGTACTTGCGGTCGTGACTGCCTCGTCCTTTCGGCTTTGTCTTTTCGCGACATGATGAAAGTCCAAAGCTCATTTATAGATGAAAGATTGGCCTGTCGGAGTGCTGGTCAATTTTCAGGTGCAGGCCCAGACGAAATTGAGAAAAAGACTAAGAAGAAGACTTGTGGTGGTGAAATATTGGAAGAAAATTCTCTATTCCGTACTTAATTAGATAAATCTTCCATGAAATTTGGTGCGTTTTCAATTTGCCAAAATGAATTTTGTATCCTTCTTGCATTGTATCTTTCTTCTCATTTTATCTAACCCTATTTCAACATATTCTTTACATAATGATTTTATTTTTTGTTATCGTGTGTCCTCATGATAATTAACGCCTCTTACAAATCGAAATATTGCTCTAATAATGTCTTATACCAGTTTGCAAACATGTTTAGGGCCGGTTGCTGGTAACGGGTAGGCTTCAGAACAACTTTAAAGAGAAGGTTGAGTTCTGGGAAGAGGTGAAAAATAATTTGTGAGCATTACTCATTCTTATTATGCAAGTGTGGAAGAACATCAGTTAAGACATGTTCCCTGAAAAGCATGGCTCTTCAAATGCCTTCATATTCTAAATATGCATGTAACATCGTAAAAATCGGGGGGCCGGCTTTTTACGCCACGTGTTCGTGTAGTCCCATATACATCTTTCTGTGCAAGTGTTTGTAACTTTACCAAGACTTGGCCAAATTTCTTATCATTTTGATGATTCTAGAACCTTGCAATACACACAAATTCTTATATGCTAGATGATCAACCTTTTCTGGTCGGTTCCACACCGTTTCTTTCACAATGCAATCGCATGACCAGAACTCAACTTCATCTTTAAATGAGTCTGATAGAGTGTTGTTTGGCAATTCGCGCTCAGACTTGGAGAAAACAAAAGTTTCGACTTCCTTTCTTCAAGATGTCTTTATCCCTGTCTCCAACTATACATCATGTTTGGAATGAAGAGGGGAAACCTGGACACATCTCCGTCTGTTTGTCTATTTCTCCCTGCTTGTCATTGTCATAATCGCACGCGACTTCGCTCTAGCTTTCTCCCCACTCCATATGCCCGGCCCGAAAATAACGACAGGTTGCTGGCTTTTCCCTACGCCAAGCTAGAAAGAGCGATGGCATTTGTAGAGGGAGATTTTGGCGGCCGCGCAGACTGAGGAGTTGCGCCCAAACGCCCCGGGGGCAACTAGACGAAACTCCCGGTGTATATCTGACAATACCTAAAGTACACAAAGTCAAGTACGGGCATATACTCTATACGTGCGACGCGCTATTGCTTGTCCTCGCCTCCCGGCGTAATGGCCTTTTCCTTGACTCTTGAAATATTCATCATTCGTGAACATGTGTAGAAATTTATTCATAATGCCCTCTCGTGAATGTAACCTAATCGTTTAATGACTCTCGAATGAGGTATTCGATTTCCTAAGTAAATAGACCCCAATGAAATGCGATCGGCTATTATTGCCGGTACCAGTTGTAATTGCCCAATGTTTGAAACGCCATGGAGACGAAGAAAAGAAAGGAAATAAGAGAAAAGACTTCGCACGGGGAAAATTATGGGGCATTTTAAAGCAGTTTTGTACGCAAGAAAAGCGACGTTGCTATTGCTCAAGGGCCCGTTGTATTTCGAGGGTTTTCATTCTGATTGTTTCTATTTCTGAAGAAAAGATTCGATTATAATGACAAAAGTAACAGAAATAGATTGGAAACATGATCTGGTAAATTTGCGAAATCCCATGAAAGAATTATGCACACACGGAAAGAGAAAAGACTCAAATACAATTCAACAAAAGTCAACTGGCTTAGATTTCTGAGGAATCTGGCATTCCAATTCCTAAAAGTAATGATATAACATTAACAAGAAAAATTTGAGATGATTTATTCAAATGTAATACCAACATCTGTCGTCTTTCCTTTGTACTTTAGATCCTTCTCACTCCAGAAGCTTAAGAGATTTGTCCAAAGTGGCATTTTACATGTTTGATGTGTTCTAAGCTTAATCCCCTTCAAAAGAACGAAATATGTCGAGCTCTTGTTACATGTGATTTCCTGCAGCATGTAAATGTCCTGTTCTCTATGCATTCTCACCTACATTAATGTTTCGCTTTTTTGTACATGTATATGTATTCATACAACAAGTAATGTGATGTTATATGATAAATCCAGCTAGGGGCCATGGCATCATGGGGGAGGGCATCATTTTGTGTAGGTCTTCCAACTTTCTTGAAAATCGTATCCGTACACCCCCCCCCCCCCCTCCGCCCCTTTCTTAACTAGAAGCTATCATTGTGATTACTTTTCTCCGTCTGAAATACACAGCCTTGTTCCATTGTAAAGGAAAATAATATCATTTATATTAAAGGGTACGGAATAAATAATAATTCTAACATTAATTTACTCCACTTTTCTTCAAATCTGCAAATGTATAATGAAGACTGCGTTGGATAGGAAGAGAGGTTTAAACTTATGTTTTAAAAAAAATGTATATTCAGTTGGATAGCCATGTAATATCTGAAGCATTCTAGCAAATATTTCAAACCCATTGTAACAGTTATACGCAAACTAATTATTTTTTCGTATTAAACGTTACTGTCAAAATTTGTGAGTCGTTTATTGTGAGTGAATGAATTGTATTCCCGGTGATTTTGTATAACAATCTTTATTCTGTTTTTTTTGGGGCATATATAGGTCTGGTTCAAGAATCGGAGGGCGAAATGGCGCAAGCGGGAACGCAACCAGCTCCACGAGTTGAAGAACGGTCTCGGTGCTGGTTTCAACGGTCTCATGCAGCCTTTCGATGACGGCCTCTACTCAGGCTACTCCTACAACAACTGGGCAGCAGCGAAAACCGCCAACCACCTCGGTACCAAGAGCTTCGCGTGGTCGTTGAACACGGTCAACCCGTTGTCGATGACGAGCCAACAGATGTGTTTCAACCCTCCGCCCACGACGCTCAGTTCGACTTTCTCCGCCGCCACCCCGGTCAACGGTGTCGGGCAACAGCTGAACTCTTTCAACAACGCCGCAGCTGCTGCGGCCGTGGGCGCCGCCAGCTACCCTTACGGGTCACCGCCTGGAGCGCCACCGTACATGTATCGTGAGCCCTGTTCCAACAGCATTGCATCACTGCGTCTAAAAGCCAAACAGCACCATTCCTCCAACGTACCTGGTCTCAGTTATCCAGTCCGCCAGAGCCCCACGCTTTCAGCTTGCCAATACGCTGGTCTCAACGGTTCTACCACATGAGACACCACCAAACAATAGCACAAACTTTTATCGAGAGAATCTGAAAAAGATATTTGGATGTCAACTCAACTTATGCCATGAAGTCGTAAACGAACTTCTAAACGACGTCGATGGGCCTAGAGAGGCCGGCGGTTATGATTGCATGCTGTTCATTATCGTAAAAACATTGCATCCATTTTCAAATCCATGATATTGATCATTGGATTTGTCATCGAACTATATGAAGTTATTGATCGTCAGTGAAAAGTCTCACCTTGAATCAATGATTTCTCTCGTTTTGTCACCTCGTTATTTCATTCAAAGCCATATAAAGGGCCCACCTCTATTTAAAAAAAAAGTTTTTGTATGTGCATACATGTGATGCTTTATTATGTGTTATTTCTTTTATATCAATTGTGTTGATATTTAAGTATTGTATTTTTCAAAACAAATATTAAAGCCAAAAATATGCAATATATTTTGTGGACATTTAAAACCCCTACAAATATTTTAGGTAGCATGTGTATTGTTCCGAACGATTAGGTATCCACCTCCCTTTATTTTGTAAACTCTCTTCCATCTTCTTCACTTGATCTCCGTTCTTCTATGCCCCCCCCCCCCCCCCCGATGATCTCTTTCATTTGTTTTGTTCTAAACTCTAGAACATTGTTTTCATTTTCTTCCAAATACTAAGCTATAATGTAGGCTTACTATTTCGCCGTGCTCACCTCTCTCTCTCTCTCTCTCTCTCTCTCTCTCTCTCTCTCTCTCCATCTCTCTATCTCTTTCTCTATCCCCACCTCTCACGTCCTCACTATCCTCCTCCTCCTCATTCTCCCGATGATGTGAGGTCATGAGTACTTTCGCTCAGCGGTGCAACCCTCTTCGCAAGTGTTTATTTTTCGACTGTCAATGTCAGACCGATGACAAGTCATCGTGTTTAAGGCTGCCGTCCTGACCCTCTTTCGTCATCAAGGCAAGGTACGGTGGAGAGAGAGAGAGAAGGAGAAATACGGAGAGGTTACATGATGGGGGATGGGGAAGGGGTAAATACAAAACACCATCACCTTACCCAATGCCTGCGTAGCGTGGGTTCAGCCATTGTGGTTAGGGGCACTTGCATCATAGGGGAAGGGGGCCAGTTTGTACACTGCGGCTATCAGGATAGACAAATTGCCAATACATCATCACCATACCAAAGCGGTCTGGAATGGGTCCAGCCATTATGGGGGCCACTGGCATCCCAAGTGATCGGATTTTCTACTTTCAAAATTAAAATAATTAAGAATAGGACTGGGGATGACAATAACATTTAAATTAAACATGATCACGTAGAGGTAATTTTGTTTGATAACGGTGTAACCTTTGGTTTCCTAATTCTGCTCGAAATGTGGAACTACTGTAATCAGATAAAAGGAATGGTTCTTTAATATCAATGGCGTCTGAAACGCGTTCCCTGCTCAGTTTCACTAAATATTTGCCATAACTGTCATTAGTATGAAAACGATCAGATCAAAAGAGATAACATTTTACCCGGACATTTCATTACTCTGGATACAGACAGATGGTGACCCTTGCGAGTCATTGGTTACATCGCACATACCCTCGCCCCAACCGAGTTTCAATCGCATTGTTGGTATATTTCGTTTTTTATGTTCACAACTCTTCCCATATTTTATCGATAAATATATGGATTTGTTTCAACAATATGCTACCTTTGGCTAGTCACAGTATTACATTTATTTTATAAAATTTACATTTGGTATTTTGCCTCCAATGAGCTGTCACCATTGTCACGCCTTTGGGCCCGTTTCCGACGGAGCATCATTTCGCCTGCGTTAATACCTACGCTAATCCAGAACAATTAGACCACATGCCAATAATTCGACGCAATGTGTACACTGCTAATTTTCCAATCATATTTGTATGATGTCATCCTCATAAGTTGCGTCAAAGACCACACTAATGACTGACGCAGGATCTGCGTCAGGCGAATGATGTCTAGTGTTCAACGGTATTCGGTCTTACAAATCTTAGAGGAACGTTTTCATTTTGTCTGATTGTTTGTGTCGGTTTTGTTTACAAAACATAATCACCAGAACACATTTTGTATCATAAAGACTACTTTTATATTGATCTGTTCGATGTCCAAAGCATTTCCCCCATTTGTATCATATTGGTAAATGATTTTAAAAAATATAAAGCAAAAAAATCAGCCTTACCATCTTGCCAACTGTCAATTTATCCACAAAATGGCATATTTCATTCTCTTCTGTAAACTGAGACTGTCAATGTAGATAAACAAAACATCCTATGCATTTATATTTTGTTAATGTCACCTCAGTTGCAGTTCTTAAAATGTATTCTTTCAGAGTTTGTTATCAAATGTATTATTTAGTTTTGTAGGTATTTGAGCCAAGCCGTTTATGCTGTTGTTGTTTTTTTTCGACCAGAATTTGAGGCGCCACGAAATTATTAAAGGTTTCATTTGATGCACCAGATAGTAGAGAAAGAAGCTTCCAAAACGTTTAGAGTGTAACAAAGCTGATCATAAAAATCGCACTGTTTCTCAATCGGACGAGGATCATGTAATACTATTCAATTTTGTAAATATGATACCAAGTCCGATTCGAGATAACTTTGGCTTTGTCGGATTCGATTTTATTAGATCCCGTGAACCATTATGACCTGTAATGTGATGTAATATCGAAGCGGTGTCCATTGTTGTAAATCGGGAGTTATTTTTTGCGGTGAAGCCGGGTGATCTTTGAAATCTGTCTGGTTCATATATGTATCGGACAGCACCGTCATCTTTAGGGTATTTGTGTCGGCGCAAAGAGTCGCAAAGCCGACAAGAAGATTGGCGCATTCAACAAAAATAAGAAGAGAGCCGCTGGTGTCATATATGAGAGAGAGAGGGAATGGGTCGCTACCAACAAATATCAATGGATTGGCTAGTGTTCTGGAAGGTTATTATGGGTGAGGGTATAGTACAGTGCTCCCATTAAGGCTAAGCGGCTCTTTTAACAGGATTCGATGCCGGCAATCGATCACGACAGCGAAGTCCATTTCGGAACGTAAGCGGACAATATAGCCTGGACATCCATCAACGCGAGAAGTATAAACACTCTCGCATCCCAAGCCGCCTTTTGGCGGTCCCCCACATTGCATCATTGTGATATTTTCTAGCTGTTTTACCTCTCCTCTACACTTTTTTGCTCGAAGCCTTCTCTGCGACTTCAAATTAGAACAAAAGTATTGAATGTCATGAGACAGTATTCCGTAGTATCTGTATACCTTACTTGATGATGTAAAGTAGGGAATATCTTATGTTATATTTCTTTCTTTTTTATTGTGTTGTTTCATTGTATCATAGCAGAACCATTTTGTCGTCAAGTCTACATAGAAGAGTGTAGTTTAGTATTTTTTTTCTCATAAATTATAGTTGTTGTTCTGAAATAAATAAAGACAATAACAATAACGATAGTTGTATATACTCTTTGTTGACTGTGTTTATATGTTTGAAGAGAAATGCAAGCGAGAAAGTGAAAAAAATTAAAGTAGAGATATACAAGTAAATAGGTCTAAGTTTCCTGAATGTTAATTGAAATGTAAAGAAAAAATGATGATGACGATAATGACGGAGATGATGATGATGGTGGGATTGATGTTGATGATGTCGTTGTTGATGATGATAATGATGATGGTGATGATGAATATGATGATGGTGATCAGGATAATGGTGGTGTGGTGGTGGTGGTATTGGCGATTATGATGTTGAACATGCAGAAGAATGATGCAGAAGAATGAACGGCAATGATGTAATGATGGTGGTGGTGATGATGGTTATATTGAAGGTAATTGTGACGATGATGTGGTGATTATGACGATTGTGGTAATGACGATTATGAGGAGAATAATAATAAATAAAAACAACGTTACTTATAAAGCGCTTACCATCGAAGTCTCTAAGCGCTAGAAGGAGGAGGAGGGGATGACACTATCGGTAAATATGCTTTTGGTGCTGCTATTAACTTTAAAAAACTTGTTGATGATGATAATAAGTATATTGATAAAAGTAGTAGGCCTAAATCGCACGATTTTGTGTTAATCGAAAGATAAAGAGACAAAATATGCTTAATTATGACCATTGTCAATTCAATAATAAGGCTCACCTGGATTCTTTCTGAATGAAAAGGAACGTACATTCAAGTATTCTCCTGAAAACACTACACAATCACAAAGGTGTTGCAGTAAAATTAATAGCAGTCAAAATTATTCGATAGCTAAAATTCATGGTATTCCTATACTATAAGCTCCATATTTGCTGTATTTGATGTGAATTTCAGAAGAGACATAAGCATAAAATAGGATTTGTAAATATCAGCCTTATCATATTGCAATCCAATATATCTCAGTTTAAATTCAACCTAAACACCATTTTCAACAGTAAGCTACAGTTGTGGGTGGGTATTTTTTTAAACATGATATACATCTTTAACAGCTATTTTGTCATCAAGTAGAGAAAAAAGATCTGAATAGTTTGTATCCTAGTTGTTTAACTAAAGGAAACGATAGGGAGTGCTTTAGATTTAGATATATATTGATTTTTAAGAATAAAGCAGTTGTAATTGAACGCAGCCGTGCTTGACGTTCATATAAGCCGTTCACTTTTAGGGAGGGGATGTTTGGGGGGAAATTTACTCCTTTTTGTGAGCCACCCCCCCCCCTCTATTTTGTCTCCATATTTCAGTACTAGCCTATAGAAAAAACAGTGATGATGCAGTAAAGCTGATAAAATTAATCAAGTTTGCAATACATGGAAATACAAAAAGAAACAAATCCTCACTTTTTGCGGTATAGGGGAAGGTTATTCACCGACGTTTCTTTCAAAAAGACAATTTAAAAGAGGCGAAAATGAGGAGCGTTAAGATACACGGCTGTTATTAAAGACACAAGCGTCATTGTTCAGATGGTCTTTTGTCGCGGGTTTCAGCTTCGGTTTATACCAAAACCTCAATGTCAGAAGAAAATTTTCCCTAAATTTATCACTGCTACGATTTTGAATAATGTAAAGACCGATGCCGCCAATGAAAATCAATGAAAATTTAATGTAGCTGGAGAAGTGCATACTCTTAAATTCTACTTTAAAGACACTTAAATGCATGTGTTATTACGGGGGTGCCCATTAGTAGAATAATAGCGCACGCGTACTAAATAGAAATCAAATGCGCTTTGCACGACTGTACGCCAGCAGTGGGGCGAATTTCGTAGCGAATGATTTATTGCGCGCCGAGTCAGCTACCGAGCTGATATGGCCCCCAAAAAATGGTTATATTAAAATGAAACCCGCTACTAAAGCAAACGATATCAATCTTGGACACGTGGGGCTTCCATTTATTTTTTCAAACTTGGTTATTTTCTTTGTTTTATGGCAATTCCTTAAACTGTTTTATAAGTTGATAGCAATACTCATTGAATTACGTCGGTGTAATGCATTGTATTTTGCAGGATGGCCCCCAAAGAACGCAACACATGATATATGCAATGTCAATGACATCAATGGCATAACTAGTTTCTTTTCCGAGTAAAATAACTAAAATATCATCAGGTTGGTTATGGCCTTTTCATACTTAACAGCTCTTTTTAAGAGAGGGGCATTTTTTACAAAAATGTGCTACTCTTGCAACCGTGTGTATATAGTCATGCTTGAAACAGCAAGATGTTTGCGCACGGCGGCTTTCCATAGTTTTTGCTATCAGCTGTGTTGACAAGAGCAGTCATGCAACAAAACAAAACCCAATGACATTGTGTCAATGATGTCCTTTAAATTGCAGATCTAAGGTATGACATAGATGTTGATATGTTTTACAATTAAAGTCATTATTATTATGCACACATAGATCAGATCAGTAAACTAACTACAACTGTAAGATGAACTATTAGAGGTTTCTACATATCCGTTGAAGATAATGTGAGGTTTAAATAAAGAGGAGGATTAAATAACAACTAAATTCCATGTATCGGAGAACTAGCGAGGCAAATTAGAAGGAAAAATGTATTAGAAATGATAACATATAATTACGCAGTGCACTTGAGAAATAGCTAGGTAGGATTTCAGTTGTTGTTTGAAAAGCTCTGGACTATTTTAAGATCTGAGGGATCGAGGGAGGGTGTTTCGCAGGACTGGGTCTGCGTCAGTAAATGTTCTTTTTTCGTAGCTTATACAGAGTGAAAGCCGAATAGTTGAACTATTACACTAGACTGCCCTTGATTAAAACAATTTCAATCGTCAAAAGTCCCCATTTCATAATGAAAAGAATGGTGTGCGTTGCCTCATACCCCTGCTTGTCACATTTATTTTCACTGAATGATGACGAAACGTTGCAAACATAAGAAACATAATATTATGCTGATTCATTATTTATTGAATATGATATTATAGCTCTCATTATAACTGAAATTTCATCTCCTTTTCATCGTCGGTAGTTGCATCACTTTTTGACATCCCGAGAAATCATTAAATCGTCCTGCCGCCCCTGCTTGGCACCTAATGAAAATGAATATAATATACGGCTCGGTGTAAACAGTTTGACAAGAAATATTTGATAACAATAAGGTGGAAAATAAATAACAAAAACTCTACCCCCCCCCCCCCCCCCCCCTCATGAGCACAACACGTTGTCGAAAGATATATGGACATGCACGCAACATTGGTAAGCATCGGTTTATCGGGAAAACACAGGAGCGATGACGGGATCGAGCACGTGCCGGCGCGTGTGGCGTGGAGATCGCGCATCATCATGATAACTCCTCATTATT